GTGCGTATCCCCGTGGAGCTGAGACAACCTTGGGCTGGTTCCGGGCATTCATTCGCACAGGCAGCTCATGTGGATGAGCAGCCTCCCTCAGGGCAAAGTCGGCTCGGTTTTGCAATTTCGAAAAAGGCAGTGACCAAATTTAGTGGCACTGCAAAATTGTTTGCCACCCCGTAGCATACCCACTGGAGAGATCTACATTCGGCAAAGGCCTTGTAGCCAAACTCTTCACAGCCAGGCGCTGTGACGTGATTGAGCAACTGGCAGCCTCGGAATACATTGTCTGCGATGCTGATCACCGTGACCGGCAGCTTGACAATTCGGAGCTGTCAACAATTTTGCCAGGCTTCTGCTCCAACTACCCTCATGCCGGATGCCACACTGACGCAGCGAAGACGTGGTACCGCTGCACAGGCCCCTTCAGGAATTTTCTCCTCCGGATTCATGGGGACATGGATTGCAAGCGGAATGTCTCGGAGTGGACACTCTTCAAAGCTCTCCTTCGTGGGAAGAACTTCACAGCAATCGCAAAACACTACAGAGTATTCCGTGCTCTGCTGCAGCTTTTCCCAGACTGGATTATCCAAATGGGTTTGCGTGTCTGCTTGCAAGAAGTCAATCGCACACCCGAAGACCTTGAGGTCAGTCACGGAGGCAAGGTACCACCACATGATCTTCGAGGTCCTCAAAGCGATCAAATTTGGCAATGCTCATGGAGATGTTCACGACTGTGCGGAAAGGGTAGTCAGCACCAGGTGGAACTCCTTGACCGGCTCACATGCTTGGGAAGAGCCACCGTCGGAAGAGCTAGAGGACTCCATGGTGGGCAACTGGGGAAGGTCGCTGGTTGAGCCGAAAAACCCGCCTGTGCCTTGCACGATTTGTGCAGATTGGCTCTCTTGCACAGCGCCAGGCAGGGGTACATGTTTTTTGTCACTGATCGCTCATCACCTGCGGATTGAGTGTTTTGGTGTGCGGAGTATCCCTGCCCCGGGCAGTGTTAAGGCACACACTCTCTTCCCTGGACCTTTCCCTTTTCCAAGTTGGCTTAATTAAGGTGTCCCTAGACATGGCTCACAGCTTCGGTTGCCGATGTGTTGTTGAATTGTCGGACTTGCGTTCGACTTGCTTCTGTGTCGTGCGCACCGGAAGAGTGTCCTTTGCCCGTGCTGCTTCTTTCTGTGTCGTCCTAAGACGCTGCGGTAGGTGGTGCCTTCGCCACTTGCGCTTGTCTGCCTTGAGTTGTGTCCTGAGACACTGCTTGCGGAACTTTGATTAGAGCACACTGACGTCGAGTTCTTTGAGGCAGTGAGACACCCGGAGTTGCCCTGAAAAAAAAAGGCGATCACTGGGCTTACAAAAATTTAGAAAAGGATGTGGCCCTTCCAAGTTGACTCACCCTTTAGTGAGCCACCCGAGGCTAAAATTTAGAGAAGGATGTTGACATTTCAACTTGACTCACCCTTTTGTGGGGCATGCAGGGGTAAAATTTAGAGAAAGACGTTGCCCTTCCAAGTTGACTCACCCTTTGGTGAGCCACCCGAGGGTAGAATTTAGAAAAGAAGTTGCCATTTCAACTTGACTCACCCTTTGTGGGCAATGCAGGGGTAAAATTTAGAAAAGGAAGAGGTCATTCCAAGTTGACTCACCCTTTGGTGAGCCACTGGAGGGTAAAATTTAGAGAGGGAAGTGGCCATGCCAAGTTGACTTACCCTTTTGTGGGCCATGCAGGGTTAAAATTTAGGATGTTGCCATTTCAACTTGACTCACCCTTTTGTGGGCCATGCAGGGGAAAAGATTTAGAAAAGGATGTTGCCCTTCCAAGTTGACTCACCCTTTGGTGAGCCACCCGAGGGTAAAATTTAGAGAAGGATGTTGCCATTTCAACTTGACTCACCCTTTGTGGGCAATGCAGGGGTAAAATTTAGAGAAGGAAGTGCTCATTCCAAGTTGACTCACCCCTTGGTGAGCCACTGGAGAGTAAAAAAATAGACAAGGAAGTGGCTGTTCCAAGTTGACTACCCTTTTAAGTGAGCAACGCAGGGTAAACTTTGGAATACGCAGCAACATTCGGGAAAGGGCCTGTGTGCGCACTTGACTCCCCTTGGTGGGGTGTGCGCACGCTGAGTTAACAAGTGTGTGCGCAGATGAGGCACAAGCGCCGATAAAATGTGTGTGCGCAGTTGAGTTGAATCCGTGTGCGCGGCTGCGGCGCCGCCCTTCTGTGAGCCACCCGAATGTACAGTAGTAAAGGTTAGAGGGCAGAAAGCCATTCCATTCTAGCACGCCAGTAAAATCTTGGAAGAGCTGGATCTGAACCTCTGCAAGATTTTGTGGGTCTCTAGACTCTACACCTTTACACTAGATCTGTCTGTCGAGGCCTTTGGATCTTTGTAGATGTATAGGCGTCCTGCTTCTCAACCGTGACCTCTTGAATCTCCAAAACCTGAAACACCTTATCTTTTGAATTCTTGGCAACTTCGAACCGAACACAGAGGGCAGAGGCCGACCGTTGTGGTGGATAGGTTGGTCTCGACCCAAGGGCCCTACAGGACCATCCAAGGTATCCGTGTAGGTTTAGTTTTTGTTTTTTTGATGCGTTTTTGATTTTCTTTTGATCACTGCTTCGAGTTGGACTATTGCGCTTCCCTCCATTCGTTTGAGTCCGTTTATTTTTTAATTGAGTCATTTTTGATTTTTCTTGATACCCTGAATTATATTTGTGTTTTGATGCATTTTTAATTTTTTTGATCCCTTGCCCAGAAATAGACATCAACCTGGACGTCTAAGACACATTGCGCTCTCGCCCGCCGGGAACTCCGACCATCTCCCTGACACCTCGCACAACATTGTGCTCTTGAGGAGCTGCCTTGGACACCGTGTGGTCCTGACCAAGTTCGCACGCCTCAGCTCTCCAACATCATCGGCGGCATCTGTCCTGAAATCAATCGGCTCCTCCGCACTTCCTGAACCCAAATCCACTCTCTGGAAGACTGACCAGACCATCCTGCATGCAATCTCAGCATTCGAACGCCCTGTCTTCTGTGTCACTTGGAGCTAGAGAGGACAACCTCCCCAAATGATGATCTCGCTCATGCGACAGAAAGTTCTCATCCGGGCCCAGCACAACCAGCCAACCGCGCTTGGTGGTACTCAGGATGTTGTGCGCTTTCTGGCCAACGTGGGCCTCAATCTGGACCTGAATGGACTTCAACCTGCCCTGCGACCACATCACAACTCCGAACCATTCGCGGCCACAAACCTTGTGTTTGTTCCTGCCACCTCCAAAAGAAAAGTTGGAGCGAAATGACAGTTCACACGTCAAGAAACCCAGCCTCTTCATGCTTCCACACCAGGTGTGGTCTACCTGTTTTCGAGGAACAGCTGGGAAGGCTGCGAAATCTGCAGTTCAAGGCCACAAAGTCGCGAAATCTGCAAACAAGCCATGTTGAAAAACCCAACTCACGAAATCTCGTGCCACGAAATCTGCTCTAGTCGACTTTGGACAAGGTTTCCTGCCACGAAAAAAAGTGACCACCATGTGCGAAAATGCGCACGGCACCGCAACAAGAACCCACAGCAAGCACCCGCTGGTGATTCGCTCCACACGTGTTCGCTTGATGTACTTTCTGTGTTTTAGTTTGTGCTCTCCTTTTTTGACCTTGCAACGCGCATCAACAGGCAAAAAAATCATGTGAAATCCAAAATACGCTCTTGCTGGAAGAAACTTTGGCTTTGGTGGCGGCCACTAATTTTATTCTTTTCAAGAAACATAGGCCCTGACCTGCATGCACGCTTTGAGGTTTACAGCTTTCACTAATGGAGCTAAGGAACACTCATCTGCAATTTTGCACGTGGACATGGCCTTACAGTTTCACAAAAGCTGAGATGACGTTGGCTTGTTGCAAGTACAAATTGAAGTTGACCAAAAGGGTTTCACTTGTTCACTTGGTGCATTGGAGACCAACTTCCGTCTTCGGTTCTTTTCTTTTGTTCAAGCGACGTTGGAACACGCGTTTTAAGAAAAAGAATTGAGCAAAGCTGATCAAAGTTTGGAGCATATTGGGTTCCTCCCACCTCCAGCCCTTGTAGTTGTGAAAGTCGGGCGTGACTGCAATGTATCCTCCTAGGTTCCACGGCCTCCATCGCCCTGTTAGGGCTGTGCGAGGCTTGATCTCCACGGCCTTGCCTTGGCCTCCACACCTTCACCTTTCTTGTTTTTGGTACGATGGGGAATGCTTTGCTATTTTGTTTCTTTTGTGCTTCCATGCAAAGTTACAAGATGTTTTTCACAGAGTCAGGTGCCAAATGAATTCCAAAACGTGTGGTTTGGCCTGGTCCTGTCACAAGGCGCGTGATCTGAAATTACGTTGAACCACGATATCCAAAACTGAAATTTCCTGTCAAACTACTTGTCACCATTGTGGTTGTCATTGCAATATTTTTTGCACAAGTTCTGCTTGGAAAACTTTCATGTTACGTAGACTTAGACATCATGGCAATGAACGAATCAATGTGTTGTGAAACCCAAAAGAAACCATCTTGGTGTGATTCACAATGTGTTTTTCTCCCAAAAAAGACATGAAACTGGCTGGCATGATTTCCATGCAAATCAATGCAGATGTTTGGTTTCCGATGTGAAAGGCAGAACTGGGTTGTTGACGAACTTGAAGGATTCAAATGCGCTTGTGACCAGGTATTTTTCAGTGATGGTTCATGCAATGCACATACATATAGTTTCCTGACATTCTTTCAGGTAGCACTCCACAACTGCCCACATTTGTGTTCATTTCAATTGTGTGTGTCGATCGGACTTGGTCGTAAAGTCCCACTGATCATCATTTGCGTGACAGGCTCGAGGTGTCTCAGAGTCCGCTGGCTGTCATGCACAAAAGGTTCGTGTCCATGACAAGAGACACCTGGGAACTTGCAAATGTACAGACTGGAACATGACGCTTCTCGATTCATGACATCTCCGCAAGATGATCAGCACAACATGTGCAATCACTTGTACTATCAAGTCCTGAGCATGCGTGTTGTCATGAAGATATGGCAAACGATGTGCAGCTTTTCCTGTCACGGCCTAAGTTTCAAGCATGTTCTTCATGTCAAATGGTCTACATGGGAACTACACCAATTATTCTTAGGTTGCAGGCCATCGCTTTTAGGTTGGAGGCCATCGCTAGTAGGTTGGAGGCGGCCAATGTTTTAATTGCATTAATAGTAGTGACTGAGGCCGGGACTGGCAAAGCGTGATGTCACCGTTCCTCGGAGCTTTTGGCAACATCTATAGCAGATATTTTTGGAAAACGTGAAGTTTCCGAAACGTCAACCTCTCCACTTGATTTGAGGGTCCTCCATCTACAGCTCCGACATATTTGCCCAATTCCCAGAATCAGCTGGACGATTTGGATAGATTCAGGGGCATGCGTGTCGTGTCGTAAAGATGTCGCGTACGTTGTACAGAACGAAGGCTTTTTGCTTCATGTTTTTCAATAAATATATTGGATAGGATGGAGGCCATCGCTGCTATCGCGCTATCACTCGTAGGTTGGAGGCCATCGCTAGTAGGAACCTCTTGAGAAAGACAGATTGCATCCGTCCGCGGTTCGAAGTCAAGGTCTGATACCGCATCAGGGCGGTCCTCCATCCGGAGGCGCTTTGTGGGCAGTCAGAGGTTCAATGCCGAGGACTGCAGAGGACTGTTTCAAACGACTGGAGCACTCTGTGTGCACTCTGTGCAGGAGCTCCGGTGTTTTCATAGGGTTCCAACTCCATCACCGATGTATTCTCAGAAGTTTGAGGCGTGGTTTAGTGGAAGAAACTGAATTCACAATTGCGAGTGGGCTCACGTGTTGATCATGAAAGGTGGCCCAGGGAGCCTCAGCTACCTGAGTTCCCCTTGCTTTAGACATTGGTATTTACAGTGGCAGCTTTCCAAATTTCCTGGGAATGGGGACTTAAGACTTGATTGTATTCAAAGGGGAACCCGTGGTATAGTGTGACTGTGCTTTCTTGGTATAGCATCAAAGTTACTGAACCCTCAAGCTTCTGTGCAGACCGACTTTTCCCTTTAATTTGCAATTGAACGTATCTGAGCCAAGTTGGAGAGCATGATGGGATGCAGGGTTCGAGAACTTTCTGATTTGTTATGTAAACGTAGAGGGGTTGAATTCCTCAGCCGCAAGTCCAAAACCCTTTCCTGCATCTCTTCTATTCTGCGCGCATACCCTCCAGATACTACAGGATTGTGGCGCTGGAAGCTGCATCCCAACAAGAAGAATCAGGGGTTCGGGGATCTCCAGATCAAGGTTTCCTGAGTTGTAGGGGCTCAGGGAAGGATAAGTGAAGAATTCCCCAATCTTGCATCCCTAGTCAGGGTAGGTTGGAGGCCATCGCTGGTAGGGACCTCGTAAGGAAGGCGGAGTGCATCCATCGCTAGTAGTTGCTCATTCAGCCCTTTGAACCGACTAACTGTCCATTCCTTGGGCCCACCAATGCCTTTGCAACCGGACTTGTCTCAGTGTTGGAAAGCCTTTTTCACATTTCTGATACCAATCCCGGTGATTTCACAATCCAAGAACTGCAAGATAAAACCCTTTTAGCCAGCATGCCGCTGGCGTCTTCCTTTTCACTTCATCCCCGATCTTTCAGTCGCATAGTCCATTCATCAGGATTTTTCAGATCTCTCACATTTGTCCCTGAGATCTCTAACTCTATAAGCAATAATCCATCATGGTCCCACAATGCTTCACAACTGGAGGCCATCGCTAGTAGGGTGGAGCCTGAATCCCACAACTCTTCCGAAAGCATCCCGTAGTCCAACCAGATGACGGCTTCATACTTTGCAACATCAGAAGTTCACCATTCAATAACCCACCAGAAAAGTCCAACCACCCATAAGGCCAGAAATTCAACACTTCTCAACTGATAACATTCAGCTTCTCAACTGACAACTTCCAGCTCAATACTGACAACTAAATGTTCTCAACTGACAACTTCACCCCAACTAAGCAACTTTTGTTCTTTAGCAAATCAGTCACGAAAAGTGTTTAGTGTCAGGGGTGTTTGTGAGATGCCAGCTAAGTTTTGAAAAATTGTAGAGTATATATATATATATTATATGTATACACATTATATATATATATACACATACAAAACAAACACATTAAAAAACACAAAACAGACACAACATGAAACTGCCATTTACGAATGAAACTCCCAAATATAATGGCACGAGCTTGATGGTTTGGCAAATCTTTTCTTAATGTTCCTTCTCACCAGGATTTTCCTCCGAGCCTTTGAGAATATGATGCAAGAAATGCTGTGGTGATAATTAGCATCATCAACATCAGTGATTTGAAAAACACTTGGTCTGGGTCAAGATAGTGAAGGACACTTGCATGGAACACTGGAAGAGGAATGGGGCTTCGGCTGAAAGCGCGTGGCTTGTGGAGGCCATCGCTAGTAGGTTGGAGGCCATCGCTAGTAGGTAGGAGGCCATTACTACTAACAAGAAGCCACTTGTTAAACTCTTTATGGGGCTTCGGCTGAAAGCACGTGGCTTGCCTGTTTTGGAATTGGTCCTTAGTTGGCTTCGCCATGTCCCTGAATGGACCTTATCGGTCGTTTCATCAGCAGAGATCTCTGATGAGTTAGGGGTATGTTCCTCGTAAAGTTTAGTGATCACGCCCTTGTGCCCAAATCGTCATTGTTGATTGCGGTTATGATGCGTAGGGCCCAGGGTTGTTCAATGTCCAAATGCAGGGTTGAAGCGACAATGACCAATTCTCAGTCAAAGGGTTTGTAAAATATACAGCATTGTCATCTATGTGGGGGGTTCGGGATATCATTCCAGCTTTGTCGACTTAGTTAGAGCTGATTGCATAGTTGCGCAGTTGAATCGCTATTCAGTGACAAGCCCTCCCCATTCGCATTCGCCTCATTTCTTCTTGCAATCACGCTACCTTTCGTCCAACCACCCTTCTAGGCCCTGATCGTTTGCACTTCGAACAGCTTTTTAAGCGAATTCTTGGTTGCACTTGTGATTTGCTAGGTCTATTGGCAGACAGTTGGAAGCTTCAAGAAGGTTTGGCTGGATGATTTTGCACGGATTCGTTCATTCTTCAAATGGACAGTACTAGGGGCTCCTGGCCTTACTACTAGGAGCAATGTTCGCTACAAGGGGCTCCTGGCATCGCTACGAACAGAGCGATCGGACGCTACTAATGGACTCTGCTTCTTGGCCGGTCCGGGTCCGGGAGGTGCGAACTGACAGCCTGCTGAAGGTTCCCAAGGCGAGGTTTGGACAGGAAACACAATCAGTTACTGGCTATTTGTTAGTAGTAATGGCCTTGTTACCAGAATGAGTGAGGCGCCTTAGAACCAGAACGGAGAGATCCTTCATCTGAAATCTTTGAAACAGTGGACTTGGTGAGGGCGCCCTGCGCTCTGTCGTTTTGGATGCTGAGGGCGATCTTCTTGGCCGCGCGCAAGACCCAGGAATTCAGGAGAGTCGTTTGCTTCAAGCAGAGCCATGTTTGTTTTTTCTTTCTGGTTGGCGAATGCCAGGAGAAAGATCAAGAAACTGCTGCGAGGCGACATGCTGGAGCATGAATGTAGGAAGAACATATACGATGGAAGTATCACTTGCAGAACTGATGGTAACCAAGAAGCTACTAGTAACAAGGTGCATTGATAAATACTAGTAACAAGAAGCTACTAGGGGCTCCTGGCCTTACTAGTAGGAGCAAGGACGCTACTAGGGGCTCCTGGCCATACTACTAGTAACAAGAAGCTGCTAGGGGCGCTCCTGGCATCGCTACGAACAGAGTGATCGGACGCTACTGGTAAAACTCTTCGAGTGCACCTCGGTGCACCGAGGTCAGAGCCCGACAGGCCCGACAGGCCAGCGTTGCTCCCCTACGAGGAGAAGTCAAGATCATTTGGTCACAGAGTGGTTCAAAAGGCTCAAGAGACGCCAAAAGGGATAGAAAGTTCGAATTCTAACTTTGGCCTACAGACACATTCAATACAGCAAGAAAGATCGAAAAGGAAAGAAGGTCGAAGGTATCAAGACAAGAAACAGGAAAAACCGAAAAGACAGGCATCAAGGCCTAAAGAAGAAAAAAGGAACAGAAGGAAATCTCTCAAGCCCAAAAGAGAATGAGAAGGGACTGAAGGTCTACAGAAAAGGGAATCGACAATACAGAGACAGGTCTAAAAGCTCCAAAGGTCAAAAGGAAGGAAAGAAGGAAGGACAGAAGGAAGGAACGCACGAAAGAAAGACAAAAAAGAAAGCAGGAAAGAAGACAGGAAAAAGAAGACATGAAGAAAGAAAGGCCCGATGTCCCAAAGAAAGAAGAAAACAAAGAACGAACAAAAGAAATTGGGAACAAAGGTCAAAAGGACAGAAAAAGAAAGTAAGAAAGACATGTCTAGAGATCTAGGAGAAAATGCAAGGAGATCTGGACCGAAGGAAGAAAGTGCATTCAGTTTGGAGTCTAAAGGCCAAAGACGAAACACAGCGAAACGCTGGCCTAAATTCGGTCTGAAGAAAAAGACACAAAAGGACACATCGTGCAACAACAAAGAAAGAGAAAAACGACAAGCAAATAAACAATAAAGCCAATAGCGATGGTCTCCAACCTACTAGCGTCCTTGCTCCTAGTAGCGATGCCAGGAGCCCCTAGTAGCGTGGCCCTTTGCTCCTAATAGCGAAGGTCTGGCCTGAAGATGTGAAAACCAAAGAAAGGCACGTGCAAACAAAAAAGACAGACGAAAGAAAGGTTCAACGGCCCAGAGAAACAAAAAGCTTGAAGAAGGGAAGGACAGCTAAAGAAAAAGGAATGAACAGAACAAGGAAAGAACGAAATACGGAAAGAAAGAAGAGGAACACACGTGTCCTTTACTCTTGATAGCTTTAGACTTATCTTGTGCAATGGATGAGGAGATGACTGCAAGTTTGCTGGATGAGATTTGCACTCAGTTTCCGATGTGCAGTTCGAGCGATGTGCTTGCTGATACAAACTTTGCAATGTGGGTTCACCGCATCCATTCGAACAATCATCCAGTGGAATAATAGGTTGTTAGTTTTGGATTGAAGCAACAAGTTTGCGTCAATCAGGATTTTTCCTCGGAGTCCTCCTTGTGGAGACAAGGAAGAGGACGCAAAGATGGCTAGGAGCTTTTCTCAGTCTTTGGAGCTTTAGACCTTTGTGACTTTCTTTTTGCTGCAAGACTGTTGGAAGCGGCAGGTTGCACAAGTTGCGAAAGCAGACAGCGTCCAACCTGCCTGAGCTCGGCGACCCAGAGCAGAACATTGTGGAGAATTCTAGAGAACCCGTGTTGAGGAGGTTTGATGCCTTTGCCTAGGACCACCAGCCATGCGACTGTGGGGAGCTTTGTATTCGGTGTTAAGATCAAGGATATATTCAGATGCTCGGCCTTCAGGATCCTCCAAACTTTGCCGGGATCTTAGTTGAAAAGAGGACATCGCTTTGGAAAGTACCGCTTTCTTTTGGGATCAGAGAGTTGCCGCTTGCTAAAATTGACAACAGCCTGGCTTACAGCTCTGCAACTCTAGAAATCAACTTTCAACCAAAATTTGATCAATACTGGAATCTGGTGGTGACAAGCGATGAAGGCGAAGGGTAGTCAAGACTTCTTGAACAATCACAATGATAGAGATGACGATTGTGGTGATGATAGTGGTGGCAGTTGCAGACTGCTGCTTGCTTGCTTGCCTGGCTGGCTGGCTGGCTGGTTGGTTGGTTGGTTGGTTGTGCGAACACTCCCGCTGACTGTAGGGGTCCAACAAGTTTGTAGGGTAAGGGTACAATGGGGAGTGGTGGAGCAGAAGTGAGCCCGAAACCTGCAACCCAGACGTAAGACCAAAGAGGAGTAGAATGCTGTGTACAAGCACCGTGTACAGGAGTAGCACGATACCTAGTAGTTTGTCTAGCCCTTATTGCCTTACTTAATTGAGTAGGCGCCTACTTAATTAAGTAAGGGTGAGGGTAAAGGGCTGAAGCAAGAAAGACAAATAATCAAAGGAAAAAAGGGGGAGGGCCTGTACCTTGAGGACCGCAAATGTGATGCAAAGACTGAGTCACCTGGATTGGTTGTCGTGACATTCCCGTCGGTAGCAGAAAAGGCTAGCGGGAAAGCTCTTCCAGCAGGAAGCCGGCGGTCAAAGTCTCAGCAGTTGAGCCCCTTTGGGCATTGAAGAGCTAGTAACAAGGTGCATCTCTACTAGTAACAAGGACGCTACTAGTAGCTCCTGGCAATACTACCAGTAACAAGAAGCTACTAGTAGCAATGCATCTTGTTACTAGTTACTAGTAGCTTCTTGTTACTAGTCCAGCTGGACATGGACGCTTCCGAAGTGATTTCAGTCCTTGGCGCTTGGTGGAGAGGTTGGTGCAATTTCGCCAAAAAATCCTGGACAAGTTCTCCACCATGAAGTCTGCGTTTGAGACGCATGATGCTGAGATCCGAAAGACATGAGGAGTTCAGTTCCACTGAAATCGAGTGACAGCGTCAGTCGAGTTGACAGCAAGGTATGCGTCTGAGCACGGCCCACACGGTGTCACAAAGGAACTCAGCAAGAAGGACAATTGGAATAGCGCATGTTCACCGGGACGTGCCCCCGCTTTCGGCATCCTTCAGCCAGGTTCCCCTAGTAGCGTCCTTGCTCCTAGTAGTCAGGCCAGGAGCCCCTAGTAGCGATGCCCTTTGTTCCTAGTAGCTTCTTGTTCCTAGGAGTAAGGCCAGGAGCGCCCCTAGTAGCGTCCTTGTTCCTAGTAGCGATGCCAGGAGCCCCGATCGTAGCTTAGGAGATGCCAGGTGAGATTTCAGGTCCGTCCTTTCCGCATTGTTGCAGAGTTGCAAGCGCATTTGGGTTTGGTCCCTTCCGCTTGGTGGTGCCACACCTTAGGAACTCAGTGGAACCAAATCGTTAGTGTGAGCGCTTCTTGGAGGAAGCGTCTGAGCTATCGTACTAGGAACTTCCAAGCTTGCCAGTAGCTTACTTCTGCCTGACTGAATTAAGTAGGCCCTAAGTAGGCGCCTACTTAAGTAAGGAGGCCGTGCCAGTAGGGGCCCTGCAGGAATTCCAGCGCTTCTTGGTTCGACACTTCGCCGGACTCCCAAAGGAGGACACAGTGGGCCAAACCTCACAGCATAGGAGCTACTAATAGCTTCTTGCTACTAGTAGTAAGGCCAGGAGCTACTAGTAGCGTCCTTGCTCCTAGTAGCGATGCCCTTTGTTCCTAGTAGCTTCTTGCTACTCAGTAGTAGGGCCAGGAGCTACTAGCAGTCTCTCGGTAGTTGTCATGATATGACAAGTATGTCCAGATGAGCATACTTAGTCATGTCATAGTTAGCTTGGCATTATGTCATAATGTGGGTTGGACACCATCAGTAGGTTGGAGGCCATTGCTATTAGGAGCAAGCCATTAGGGGCTCCTGGCCTTACTACTAGGAGCAAGAAGCTACGATCGGGGCTCCTGGCATCGCTACTAGGAGCAAGGACGCTAGTCGGTTGGAGGCCATTGCTATTATATATGTCATAATGTGTTTATGCCGCCTTTCGCCTCAAGCGGGGAAGGGGAGGCGTAGTGCACTGGACTGGACACTGCGGCGCTTTGGCAGCACTGGACTGGACGGGTGATGCTCTGAACTTCGTTTCCATGTGACTTGCATGTTGACATGCAAAAAAGAAAGTGACAGAATCACTTGGCCCATGGCAGGTGTTCACCAGCTTCACTTCGCCCATGGCGGGGGCATCCGCAGTCAGAAACCCATTTTGGCCTTTTCCTTCTTTGACCTTACGAGGAACTTGTGCCCTCTGAATGAGGAACGAAAAAGGTGATTTCATGTTGGACGTCAAAGCAGGGTTGCAAAAGCCGCTGTTGTTCTACAAGCGCTCCTGTAGCAAGAGATGGTAAATACCAGCAGCAGCAGCAGCAGCAGCAGCAGTCGCAGTGGTTGTGGTTGTGGTTGTGGTTGTGGTTGTGGTTGTCGGAGCAGTGGCAAAAGTAGCAGTTAGCAGGTTAGCAATCGTAGTAACAGTAATTAGTATTGTATCATTAATAGTGTTGGCAGTAGCGGCCGTATTAGTTGCAGCTTTAGACGTAGTAGTAGTAGTAGTAGTAGTAGTAGTAGTAGGAGTAGGAGTAGCAGTAGCAGTATTAATAGTCATAGGAGGAATCAGAGTAGGAAAAGGAACATGAGGAAGCAGCAGGAGTGGGAGGAGTCGGAATTGAGAAGGAATGACACTTGTGCCTCTTGACATGTTGTACATCATGTGTGCGATCTATTGAAGCTGTGTTTGCTTAGCAGGCACAGCACTGTCAGATATCCGCACCTTATTGAATTTACAATTCTTACAAGGCTTTCAGGTGTCGAAATCCAACCGCAAGACGATGTTGCGCAATGACTCATGTAGGCTAATGTAGAAGACACAAGAAATGAGAGTTCCTCGATCTTCAATCGGTTTGAATCAGAGGAAGTTGCTAAGGTCTTCATAATGGACATGAAGGGCAAGGTCATAATCAGTCCGCCTCCAAGAAATGGTGACACTTGAGGGTGTTGGTCGTCCCATTGGTGAGGACGATGGGTTTTTCTAACGAGAGGAATCCCAGTTGGCTTTGGTGTGCCCACAGGAAGCAAGAGCTAGGGACCAGCTAGGCGAGTTCTATTTGGCTTTAGCAGAGGGTTGGGTTCAAAGCAGACGTAGATGACTATTGTACCTTGGGCACTTTTTGGTTTTATGGGTTTTGCTTCTTGGCGACGTAGGCATAGTCGATCCAGAGGGTTCGATGTCTTCTCAGCTTCAGCGACTCTTTCGGAGTCTGGAGGACAAAACGGGCAATGCTGCAAAGAGTGTTGTGTTGTTAAGTTTTGGTTCCTCTTCAGCCCAACGTCTGTCCTGTCTTTCAAATTTCATTGAGCTTTAGAATTTGCACACGCAGCCTTCATGCCAACATGCCATCCAGCTATTGGTTGTTTGCAGGTTTTGTTGAGGTGTCGGGAAGACAACAGAGTTTGTGTTCCAAGAAAACCCCGCGGGCGCAGCACTGGACCGACAGACTTTCGTCAGAGATGCCAGCCAAGGCCGAAACTACAGGGGGGAGGTCCCTATGAACATCACTGAGAGGCACCGGCATACTGTTGGCTTTTGCTTTGATTCTTGGGTTTAAACGACAGCTAGTAGGTTGGAGGCCATCGCAATTAGGTTAGAGGCCATCGCATGTAGGTTGGAGGCCATCACGAGGCCATCGCTACTAGGGTGGAGGCCATCGCTAGCAGGTTAGAGGCCATCACTATCAGGTAGGAGGCCATCGCTAGTAGAAATGCTGCAGTTGCGTTTTGCAGCAAAACGCCTGACCCTTCCCGACCCTTCGGGGTTGTGATGTGGAGGTTTCAGCAACATGTCATCGATGCTGAAGATGCTACAATCAAACCAGTTTTTTGCGAGGACTTTGCTGTTTTGTTTTGCTGGCTTAATGCACATGTTTTTCAATAGTTGCTCTCATTGCTCATTCTCCCCAGAAGCCACTTTGCTGCAGGATGGCATCAGTTTCGCCTGGATCCAGCATTTTGGCAAAGAAACTAAAAACAGCTTTTAGTGCAGTTCCTATGCCATGAGCATTTGTGCTAAGATACAACAACTTGTACTTGCTAGCCGTGGCCTCAGAACGCAGTGAATGAGTGAACACAATGAATGAAATGAATTGGATATCAGCTTACGTTTCCCTAAAAATCGTGAGCTATGCTTCTACTACCTTTTAGCGGCCTACCCCCCAAAAATAACACATCCCACAATCCTTCAAGACAATCCACTTTCTTTCCGTCAGTACTTCATCCCTCGTCTCATTCTTCGTTTGGGTTCGCGAAAGGCTGTGACTCAGCGAAACTCGAATGCGACCCTGATTGTGGCCTTCCTCTACCGTTTGGCGGAGGCCTGCCTAGCAGAACCTCGCGAAGCCTAAGTATAACGATAAGAAAATAAAGAGAGATCTTAACTTCCTTTTTGCTTCTATATAATTCATTTATGGAGAGATCACCGGTCATCTCATTTGAGCATGTGAGGTGCTTAGAGATTATTTCAACGAGCTTGAAGAGGAGAGCATAAAGGAGAACATGAGCGCAGTATTGTTGTGGGTTTGTGGAGCTGCATAAATTAGAGCAAGGATGCTTTGATGCCAATTGCCAAACAAATCACCTGTACAGAGCAAACCAGCTGGGTTGACGTGGGGAGGCAGGCTCCATCCCGCTGTGCAGGTGATAAACACATTGGTTTTGTAGAGAATATATTTTTTGTGTTTGAGAGGGGTGCGTTTGTGCTCTTCGTGGCTTGCAGGATAACTTTGTGATCACCTACGAGCTCTTAGATGAGATGATGGACAATGGCTATCCCCAAACCACTGAGGCATCCAGCGCTGTTTTGCGGCCTGATGACTTTTTTCATTAGAAGATTTAATGTGGAGTAAACATGGAAGCTGCTGCAGAGCCAGGAAATTGTTGTTGTTGTTGTACCCCAAAGCCTTTGGTTATAGTAACGTTGGGTGTGACTGGTCTGCTGAGAGCTGTGTGAGTGCTATTTGTGCTTTGGGTTCGGCCAGCAAGCCCGAAGGGGGTCGAGTTTCGCCCTCGAATCGGTCAACGCCTGTGATGGGCCACCGCTGGTACCATGTCACCAAGTCCTTGTCCTCATTTCTTCAGACGTTCAGACGAAACCAAAACAGCTAGTTCTTGCAGAGAAGAGGAGATAGAGAACGGCTTAGAAGCAGGATCAACGAGAAAAGGCCACAAAGATGAGGTGAAGTAGGGGTGAAACCGTTCGTTTTAAACGGCTGTTGTCTCTTTCATTTGAGCAAAAGTACTGTGTGTGTGTATATATATATATATATATGCAGGCTTCCTTATGCGATCATGTGTGAGCTCTGTGAACTTGTGCGATCGGTGCAGGTGAAGATCCTTAGGGAGTACATCAAAACTCAGTCACATCAGCGCGTGGTCCCAGTCTGGGACCGGACATACAGTTGATGAACCGACGTGAACGTCCTGATCCCTTTTTCCTTGGCGAAACTTGTTCATTTTCATTCTTGTTTTCATGGAGAAGCACTGAGAAACGCAAAGCACTGCACCATTCTTCTCACTGTGCCAGGCTCTCGGTTGAGCAAATGAGACCGCCCACTGCAGTCACCAATGCTGTGCAGGGAACTCATTTTTGTCCGTGTATCTATTCTGTTTTCTTGAGTTAATTGATGCGAGAAAATATGGCCAAGATGCTGTTTACTTGCTGCAGCGAAAGATCACTTTCCCATTTAGTCCTTGATCTGTGCTCCTGAGCATGTCAAGGGTTCTTTGCCAGTTTTCGGGTATCATTGACGTTGTGCAACAACAAGCAATCAATCATGCTAGCAATGTGCAGTTTTCAGGTGGTGCCACTTAATCCACCCGTTTTGCACAGCCACGAGGGTGACTGTTTTTACTTGTATGGTCCGCAGTTTGTGCCCCGGACTTCACCAATGCACAGAGACTACCACCAGATCCCAGTTGCCACCACCAAGCAGGAAAAGGGTGATACATAACCAGCTAAGGTCTTGGCGGTCTGACGGCATCAAACACAAGAAGAATGAGATCTTCTTGGATGTCGTGGCTGGTTCTAACCACACGGAAGTTGAACATAGAATGTTTGAAAAATTAACAGCTTCTTTGAACGCAGAGTAGAAGCATCAATTCTCATGAAATTGACTGGTTTGACCATGTATGTATGATGACATCACCAGAAAAAACTGGAGATGTTTCTTTTCACTTTTTCCTCAAGTTTTGCCCTCAGGTGGAAAGATTGAACCTTTTAGTTTCAGCAAACGGGTCGGTGCTACGTTCGGAGATCTTGGGGGCTCTGAAAATGAAGTGTGGAGCTCAGCGGTTCCTCGACGATGCATGTGGTTCCGGTGGATAATCTTGAGAATCCTCGAAAGACGCTGAGAGAATGAACTAGGAGTCCAGGAGCAAGAAGCTACTAGGGGCTCCTAGCCTTATTATTAGGAGCAAGACGCTACTAGGCGCTCGTAGGCATGGCCTCCAACCTAATTGCGATGGCCTCCAACCTGATAGCGATGGCCTCCAACCTGATAGCGATGGC